CCTTAGTGGAGAAGGTGTATAAGGTGTTTTAAAAGAATAAAGGCTTTCTATTTCACAGGTGTCACTCTGGTCCCATTTATGCTCCCAATCAAAGCCAAAATACAAAAACAACAGACAGTAGTTGCGGTAATTAATTAGTAAAAAAAAAATAAAATTAAAGGGTTGGTCCAGCTGAATGACCAAAAACATATTTTCTCATGTATTTTGCTTGGTATCTAGCTGGTTTTAATTTGCTCGACTTGTGACATATCCATGCTGGATAATCTACACACTTTCAACGCTTTTCTCAGAGACTATTTCTTGGGTAGGAAATAGCTCCAACGGACACAAGCGAGGTGTTTATGTAATCCAGGGTAACATTGTTTCTGGAAATACACTTCCCTTTTTAAACACTGAAGTGCAATTAGTAACAACTGGATAAAACCAAAACGATCTGACGGCTAGATAGCACTTAATTTAAGCAGTGTTTTGACAAAGTACTACGTGGCAGCATCAACAACAACATAACCAGAATAGAGAGCTAGATGGCGAGAGGTTTACACTTTGAGCCAAACATGGAGCAACAAGCAGGTCAAGATCTGTTAACCTGCATGGTGATCAGAGAGCTGTCACCATTCTGCCCCTCCTCACTCCGGCTCGCCACCAGAGATCCTGCTGTGTCTCCATATGGTGCGAAGGCTTAGACTCGTTCTCATATAAAGGAGAGAGGAGAGGAGAAGGAAAACACCATCGTTTGTGTGTGATTCAGAGAATTGAAGTCAGTGTGCCAGAGGGGATGCAGGGACGTATGAGCTTTAGACCATATGGTCAGAAGGTGACTGGATTGGTGGCTAATGGGATTGATGTAATCTGCTTTTACATTAAAAGGAAGAGAGGGAGAGAGAAAGACAGACATTTGGATTTAGAAAACAACTTACTGTAGCATGGTTAGTGTGGTTATGTCATTAATATAGAATTAAAATGGAAAATCTCAAAATAAAACAAGAATATAGGAGAAATACATCATTGAACAACATGTTCTTTTGGACACCAATTAAAAAGATATAATCCACCACAGAGCAAATATCAGAATATCAGAGTAGCGTCACTACTGTAAAAAGACAGAACAGAACAATCTGACCGAACAGGATAATCTCTTTCCTCTCATACACGTTTGTTCAACTGATTTCAAAGTAATTTGAATAAACATGTTAATGAGGGCACACTGACTTGTTGTTGATGGAAAGAGTGAGCCAGGCTCATGTTAAATGACGACACCCACGTCGTTTCACCACAAAGCGTCCTTCACGCTTTCAAGATCAGCTGGCATTAATAAACCTGGCTCTAATTCCCCCCCCACATACCCAAACCACCCACTCACCAAACACCGCCTCTCTCTCTTGTCTTCTTCAGTAGGTGATGTTGCTCAACCGGTTCCCCCTCCTGTTGCGTGTATACCTGACTTTTTCTTCCCTCGGGGCGTCAGCGTGCGAGTGTAAACATCCATGAATCATCAGTGTTACAGGAGACGATCAGTCTAGCGTCATTATTAACCACCAGAAAGTCAGTCTATTTGCACTCTAATTTTGTGGTAGTGTTGCCGTAGATGTACATCTCCTCTGTTAACCAAACAGATAGGACATAGGACAGAGTGGCAAGAGGGGTAGGAGCAAAGCAGAGGCAGATAGATACTAAAATAATCTTGGAATGACAAGAAAAGTAGACTGATTTGATTAAAATGACCCCTCCCTAAAGGTAGAAGTGGAGTTTATTGGTTCAGTAAGTCCACCTAACTTGGTGTTCCCAGTTGAAGAGTTATTGAACCATACTAAGTCCACAAGTGCCAGAATTGTCACAATGGCTCTCAAAAAACTTTCCTAGAATGACAATGCTGAGCACCTGAGCTCACTTACTGACTGGAAGTGACATCATTAGACACCCAACAGCAGGGTAGACGCAGCTGCAGCCATAAATTAACAATACCACCAACTATTTTCAATGCTTGCTCATTAGCTCACAGTAAACAAACCTGCTCCCTGTCATTAATTCTATCAGCTGCAGCTGTGTCTACCCTGCTGCGAGACTTCTGGAAAGAAAACCCCATCAGAAGCAAATTCAAGTATTATTAGTTACATATCGTATGTTTCACTATCTAGAAGTGCTGTGTCTGCTGTAGCCTTTGTCTGAGCACTTCTAGATAGAATTTAACCTTGGATGACTAAGAGTCTTCACGCATATGTTACACACTTTGTTCTGTCTATTCATTGTTTTTCACGACCTCCATAGAAGTGCATCATACCAAGGCAGTGTCAGTATCACATGATGCCTTAAAGTTGTGTAACAAGCCACCGACTCATCAGCATCCCAGCATTCGCTGAATCTGTAACCTTATCACAGACTGAAATCCAATTCACTTGATAGTGATTCACTATACCGACTGAACCAGGAACTGTCTGAGACGCACTTTTGTTTCATAACACAGTCCAGAGGTGTCAAATAGCAAAAACAAAGACTGTAACCGCTGGTTACGAGTTTCAGATTAGGTAACAAATGATCACCTGAATTTAATTTTCTTCTGTTCTGTTGTCTCACTATTACTAAAACAAAGCTTTCATCAGAACTGAACTCCATTAAAAGGTTTAGAGCTCATCTGGCGCTCTGTGGACACTGGATTTGACCAATTTCAGACATTGACATCTTGCTTCACCCAGTATGTTAATCCACTTTTGGTTTTATAATGTAACGTAGCCAGTTTTGTCATAATCAAAAAAGATGTGTCAAACCAGAAATCACCCCAGAGCAGCACATTTCAGTTAATAATCATTTTTATTTTCTTTAGAAAAAGAAACTATCACAACTTCATTTGGTTACTGTACAGTTTCTCTTCTCATAGTCACTCAGTCTGATAACAGGTTGTGATTTCATGCTGGAACACCAAACACCCTCCTACTAACACACACCACTAGTACAACATGACAGTATACAACTTTCTTTTTCTGCTTTTGCATTTTACATCCTCCGATATTCTGGACTGAATAGCAATAGAAACCACTTCTATAAAAAAAATGGAGACAGAGTAGAAATCCCTGACATTTTCACTTGGGGAAACTAGGGACGAGAGAAAGAACTCTTTGAGCGGTGTGGTCCATACAACATGCACCTGACGTGTTCTCTGTGTGCGTGTCTGTGTGTGTGTTTTGGACAGCACCATAATTCACTAAATATATATATGTTTGAGTGTATGTGTGTGTGTGAGAGTTTAAGAGGTTCCCTGCCCTACATGAGACAGTGAGAGAAAACGAGAGGGAGATGGTGGGGGGAGGAGACAGAATCTAGGTCAGATTGTGGAGCATGCAGACCCCCTTCGTAGAAACACTATATGCATTCTCTCGCTCTCAGTGGACAGAACTGCATGCATATTCATCCATACTCGGGACAGAGGACTGTAAGTGGAACACGGTTAATATAAGATTAAGGGATGTATCAAGTATGTCTCCCTGAGAAACACGTCTTTCTTCAGTACCATAAAAAAAACCCTCCTTTTTCACTGGCCTGTCCTGTCAACAATTCCACACCTCCCCCTGAAAGAAAAAAAAAAAAAACATAACTTGGCTCATATTAAACATACTGCCCTTCGTTTTATCCCATGATCTCTCTCACCTTGCACTCTTCATCCATTAGGATTAATGCGCCACTGCCAGTAATCGCAGCGGCCAATTAGGGGCATGAACAGGTGACATTCATATAAACTTTTACTTTCCAAAGCCAACTTTCCACCTCACAGGTGTGTGTGTGTGTGTGTGTGTGCGCGTGTGTAATGACTTGCAGCTCTCCTTCTCTCCCTCTCTCCATATATATCCGTTTATGTGAGCCAGCCTCACACAGCAGTCTCACACAAACCGCTTTGTGAAATACCGAGTGTGACGGTGACACCTTTGTGACAATTCGAGTGGAGCTACTGACTGCCCCCCCCCCCCCCCCCCTTACTCTTTTC